ACTAGTATCCCCGCCCGGTTTCGCACGGATATATACAATTTTTAAGAATACTATATATCCTATGTTACTTGCTAATAATATAACTTTCTATAGGTGAAAGAATTTAAAAAATCAGTTCAATAGTTTTTTGAGTTTATCCATTAGATATAAACAAACAAACGTGCAATAAAATCTTTTTAATATAATCTATTCAATATACATCCAAAAGAACATATTAACGTCCCACTGTTGGACATGTATAATGAGGAAAATATTAGCCTTATATTATAAAACAACGCTAACCATTTCAATTGACATAGTACTTTGAATCTCCATTTTTTTCACTAGTAGGTAGGTATATAGTTGTACAATGTTTCGAATTTTCGGTTCGTGACACTATATTTGACTAATTACATATTATAAAAATCAATATAATATTATAATATTAAAAATGTGAAAGTGAGTTTGTTTGTTTGTTAATTCTTCACACCTGAACATGAACCTCATACTAAACCAATCTAATTTCAAATCAAATCTAGTATAATTGCACACACAATGTAGGATGGAGGACATAGGATACTATTTATTCTGATCTATCAATATATCCCGGTCACACGGACGAAGTCGCGGGTACAAACTAGTCATCTTATAAAGGAACTATAAGCGAGATCTACATAGCTACGTAGCGGTGTAGCACAGTAACGTCATAGTAGATCAAACCATCATAAGCGTTTAAAGATTTAAATATATGAAACTTTTTCTAAAATACAAAAGAGAAATTGTATATTAAGCTCGTAACTGTCTCAATAATATACACGTAGATTCACAGATAATTCACGCCGAAACAAAAAACCTATTAAATACAAAACCAAACTTATTCAATGGTTAGTACAGAAACGGCTAAACCTAAAAAAAAAGGTTGTGGATTACTAAACGAAAATCCCCAATTAATTGGTCCTCGTGAAGCCGATCGCTACTAAATTAAACATTTTCTCTTATTTAAAACCGAAATGAAGTCCATTTGAATTCGTGCCGCCAGTAATTACAGAGTTTACGACGTGCAAAAGCTTCCAGTCCGCCATTTTCCTAAAATGGCGGACGCCGCTTGGGACTCGGTCAGACGCTACTTGCAATTAAATGGCCGGTGTTTGTAACTGTATTATATTAATCAATGCATTAATTACACAAGTTTTTATGGGAGTATTTTCAAGTTACAATCGACATTCATCTTAACATTTACCTACGTATTTATAATGTTAATAAAAGAACCCCTTTTTTTTCTATGGATGATAATGATATGGCAACTCCGCCTGCGCTAACGGTATACGTTGGTGAGGCACCAGTGAAATGAGGATGAAAAAGCAGGTCGGTTAGCCTATCGTGATGAATACACTTTGAATTCAGCACTATAGTTTCCAGAGCGGTCCGCGTGGAGGTCGACCTAATAGGGTATATTGCTAGCAATGAGGCTGATAGTCCGCATTACTAACAATCCTCCCCCCCCCCCCCCCCAAACCCCTTTATGAACAAAAACGTCAAAAATCTTATAAACCTATTTTAGATATTGAACTGTTTTGTCTTTTTTTTGCGCTAAATTCTCAGTTTAAATGAAAATGACAAACCAGTGTAATAGTTAAAATAGGTTTATAGGGGTTTCTAGTTTTTATAAATAAGGCGGTAGCTAGGTAGGTAGATATAAATATTTTTTTACATCTGAGTGTATAATGCGCTTAAAAATCTGCGTCTTACTTCGTTTTTATTTCATATAAAATATATATAGCGTAAATCACATATTTCATTATGTACACGTGATGTTTTATGAGCTATGTATTATAAATAAAAATACATAAACATAATACAAATTCTGTATCTATACGAAAATAGTACCTTTACTTAATATTATGAATGTGAAAGTGAGTTTGTTTTTAAGTACTCTTTAGTGCTTTAACAGCTTAACCAATTACTATGAAATTTTATGTACAAGTACTGTGTAGAATGGAAAAGAATATGCCTAATCTACTTTCTATTCCAGTCCTTGAACATATACCGGTTATGTGGTAGCCACGGGTAAAGGTTAGTAAATTATATGGCCTCAGTTTTATGTCTGTCAGTAAACGGATAAAGCAAAAAGTTTATTATTAAGAAAAACTTATTATACCACCATATCAGCCGTTAATTCCCCATTGCTGAACATAGGCCTCTCACCATTGAGGAGTTTTGACAGTTGTCATGCTTGGCAGGTAGGTTGGAAACCGCAGTTAGACTTTGGTGATGTTTTAAGAGAAACGCTGCTGCTCATCCTTCGACCTTAGTCGCTTCTTATGACACCCACAGGAACTTATTACTTCTAAAACCACAACTACTACCCAAAAAAAAAAAACTATGTAAAATGAAACCCATTTAAAATTATAATATTAATATTAGTACTGCAACTAACATAAACTACAGTTATGTTTTTACGAATTAAAAATTTCATTTCATTAAAACGAAAATTAATTTAAAAATTAAAAGTAAGTACATACTTTGCAAAGCTCTTAATTATAATATTTACGTAGATAAAATCACAGGTAGTATAGTACGTATTTAAGCTACATAACGTATCTACTAATACATCCAATTATTTGTCTTTTTATGTAAGTTAGCGCTTGCTTTTGCTACAAAACACATCTAATGGCCCGTTACTGTGACACCCCTGCGCCATACAGCGTTGTCTGAATTCCACGGTCGTAATAAAAGAAGTAATCGATTACAACACTCAACTGAGGTGATTGGAAAAATTTCCTCTTACAACTTTTTAAATTGGATCTAACTTGAGCTCCGTTGGCCTCGAATGCTTTTTACAGTGGATAACGCGATTCAGTACGTTATTAGATTGCATCTTTGAGGAACGGTTACGAGTTGGATATAAAAGTTTGAAATTTTATTTAGGTAAATACTTGCTAGAAGATAATCTCGAGGATTTGCTCTCATGAAAACTGTTATTAATGATTCCACTTCGACCAAAGGTTGTTTTTTTTTTATGGTAGTCTCTTGTTTAGAACAGTCTGAACAATGAGTGACCCGCCCATTGTTTTCTCTGTATTTATTTATTGAATTAACTTTATTGATCAAAAGAAAATAGGGTACAAATGGTGGACTTAATGCTATTAGCATTCTCAACCAGTCAACTTTCAGAAGAACAGTGAATCACGAACGCGGTACTTCATTATCTGTATGATCTATTTCAAGTCCGTTGCCTCCATTTAATACAGAATTTTCTCGAAAAATATTATATCCATCAATTAAATAAGGTGTTTATTTAAAAATCCTGGGTCCTAATTTTTAAATAGCTAGCAGGATTCTGTTTCTTCCTGGAATATATTTAATTGTATCGCGAATAAATCTACTCTGGAAAAGAAACTGTTAGCTGGTAGTCTTGTCTTTGATTGTTATGTCTGTCATATGTACCATAATTAAGTAAATAATTGTTTAATAAATAAATATTCTGATCAAGAATAAGTCCACCGATGTACAGTTAACATTAACTGATCCTTCTGTATTCTGAAAGATTTTTAAACAAACAAAAATTAAACCTTAGTAAGATGTGGCGAGACAAAACAAATTCATCTCTTTTTAATTGAGAATATTAGACCGAATCGTCACTATAATTCAGCGGGTCTAACACGAAATGAAATTCCGAAATTTCGGACTCAATTTCGTGTTTTGTTTATACCAAAATCGGACCTATAAATGGAGTTTAACATTTCGTTCGTCATACATCCTATCATCAAGTCCAAAGGAACAAAATTTAAACATTTTTAATATTTCCAAACGGCATGTACGAGTATTATGTAATTTTAATATCAAATTTCTGTTTCGTTTGGCTCCAAAATTTCGGAAAACATTTCATGGTAGGCCCTCAGGTCTCAGTTCGATCTTTGTATGGTCAATGGAAACAGTTCGAGATTGATTGTTACTGAAATGGAACAGCACCGCAATCTAGTGTGAATATACATATTATTTCTTACGTCATCTTATTTTAAACTGACATAATAGTTAGTAATTGGTAAATCAATTGCTACTGTATTTAATTAAATTGCACATATTTGGGTTTCTGTTTATCTATAAAATTGTAGTCGAATCAGTATTCAGATTCTAACAAAAGACGACGTATGTTGAATCTCTCTATTATTAACAGATGTGATTACGCATTGAGGGAAGGATTATTCTGTAAATCGGTATGTAGAATAAAGAGAGACCGTAGCGAACTAGTGATTTACAATCCCTATATAAATGGCTTATTATTATTATTATTTATATATCGTGACCATAGATAAAATAATATTTGTTCTATATTCGTGTTTTCACATCTGGCGATTAGCCATATAGTCCCGGCATAGAATAAGCCACCCCTTTCCTTTCCCGTGAATATCGTAAAAGGTAACTAAAGGAACGTAATGATCGAGGGAAAGGCAGCAGCGTCCCACTTAAAACAGTCGAAGCCTAACTGCGGTTGTCAACCCGCCTTCCAAGCATGGCAACTACTAGTAAAACACACCAATATAGAAAGTCCTATGTTTAATAGTAGATAGTCAACGGCTAATATGGATAAAGCATTTGTTTTATATCAAAGTAGGCTCTTAACAAAGTGGGTTCCAGCGTCTAAGCTCTGCAACAGCAGTTTGCTTGCATCCATTATACCAGTTTGAAGGATGAGATGTGATAATAAAATCATCATGTGTGTCAATCCTCTCGTATTACAACAAGAGATTACCAGCAATATGTATCATATCGACTTTCACATAGTTCCTCCTGGAAATCATTATAGTAAATTCATAGCGAGTTCGCCACTATTATGCCAACCAACCAGACTTCATGCGCATTGTTACATTCTCCACTGGTGCTCCGCCATTGTACACCTTTAGCATAGGCGGGTGTACCATTCAATTTTCATTCATAAAAATCTTTAAGTCAGCAATGGCCACTTAATAATAGAGATCATATTGCTTGATTGTAATCTTGTTGTATAAAAAAGGACTTACCACATTTTTCTGCTGGTCATCTTCTGTAGTCTCGATATCAACACTTTCGTCACTATCGCGATCACTCTTGGTGGAGCGAGCAGGCGACGAGCGAAGCGGAGAACGAAGTGGAGAACGAAGCGGAGAGCGGGGCGGCGTGCGACGAGGTGACCGACTTTGGTGTGGTGGTGTTGCCATTGGTGATCTCGAACTGGTGTGTGATCTGTATTTTAGAAAACTATCAATATTTATAGGAACTTATAGTAGCATTTTATCGCTTACTAAATGCATCCCTTAGCTATGCTCGTAAGTCTGTAAAATACTTTTAAATTCTGCAAATTTTCAGATTTATTTTATTTATTTATTGCTGTGGTACATCAACAGATTACAAACAAAACTTTTAACAACAGAATACAACAATAGCATTATAAGTTTGCAATCCAATTCTAGTTGTGCTTGACATTCATAGAGATGAAATAAAATAGGTTGATTTTTAATACAAAAAGAATGAATGATAATAATTATAATATTAGTATATGAATAATACGCTGTTGCCCAGTCCGTACCTGTTCGGCGAACGCGGCGGTGAGATGACAGGCGACAACTGTGGCGAGTCGAGGTGGTGCGCGCGCACGGGGCGGAACGCGCGCGGCTCCTCTATCGCGCTCACGCTGCTCAGTGCTGTTAGCGCCCCTATACAGAATTAGTCACAATGGTTACACCAAGCCGAAACCATTTATGTATTCTTATACCGAAACCGAATGATAATATTCATGAAACTAAATAATTTCCCCTAACTAAAGAACTAAGCATAATCGAAATCTTCCCCCTAGAAACCATCTTGGTTAATACTTGAGATACACTGAACTAACTTATCTTCATTTATCTATCACAATTCTTTGATGCCCCGCCAACATATACCGATAGCACAAGCATCCCGCCTGCCATTCCATTTTCACTCATTAAAAAAATCCCCTATAAGGCTGATCTTCACGCAACCTCCATGATAAATGATCGTGCTTGTTTTCATCCTCATTTACTCATATTATCATTCAGTAATGCTTTTCCAATGCATACCGATAGCGCATTCGGGGTTATCTTTCCATTAACATCTATTAAAAAAACAACCTGTTTTCATCCTCACCTATCATCCCTCACTGGGTTACTATTGCATTAGCATCCATTAAAACTTACCCGGCGTCCACAAGGAAGGCTTTAACCAAGGTATGGCATAGGGCAACGGTAGCCTAGCACCCCAGACGTAGTCGGCCAGCCGGGGCACGGGCGCGTGCGCACTCGGCGGGCTGGCGGCCGACCGCTTCGCCTCACTGCCCGAGTCCGGCTCTGGCCTGCAAATCGGCACTCTTCTGTGGCGAAATTTTAGGCTGAATTTTTTAAAACTATTTTTTCATTAAACACATGTAATAATAACTATCCTAAGTCATACTGTACCTTTTGTTATTTATATCGGTTCGTGAAACTAATGAAACGATCATTAACTGTGTAACTCATAAATAAAGGCTCCTATCCAGTAATAAACTAGACGGGCATCTTTGAAGTTTAAAAACTGAGTAAAACCGATATAAATAAGTGCAAATAAAGTAAGTAACGTACATAGTTGATCTAATTACTATTCCCTTTGCTGGCAATTTACCCTTTCATAAATCGATCATTAGGCGAAGACTCTGGAAACTGTATCATTGTATTTAATCATCTCTATCCTCGGTAGAGATTTCAATTTTCTTTGTATCATTGTAACGACCAAATTCACCTATTACATAATTTTAGTTCTAACGTTTTTATTTAGTACTTATCTAGTCCCTTTTAAATTAGTTTCCGGTTAACACTTAGATTACACGACTTTCCGTTTGTCATTTTAAATTGCATAAAAAAATACTAGATACCTTGTACTTGCACGAAAAAGTGTCACAATAATAAATAATTAACAAAAATTTGCTACTACGTGCAAGAGTCATGAAAAAAATTTTTTTAAATACCTGTTACTTACGAGTAGTTTTTGGTTAAATATAAGAGTTAACTCAATTCAAATATTTCAGAAATATAATCTCCTATCTCTATCTCACCTAGCGGCAGAGAGCATTCTCTTCCTCGTTCCACCATTGAACATTGCTTTCACGTCTTCCCACGCGTGGACCACTTCATCAGGTGGGCTACCACTGAGTTTCATATGCCGTCTCCAAGAATTAAAGTTCGCGGCATCCGGTTGGATGTATTTATCCCCAGGGCCAACTCGATGTGAATGGAAGATGAATTTGTTTGGAGAGAAAAAGAGGCCGCAGTAGGCGCACTTGATGCATTTGGCCCTTGAGGAGTTATACCTAGGAAGAGAATAATAATTATACATATACAAATGTAATTTTACATTATTATTATTTCAGCCCTTAACTGTCCACTGCTGAATATAAACTTTCCTCATAAGGGGAGTTTTGCCAGTAGTAGCCACGGTTGGCAGGTGAGTTGGCAACCGCAGTTAGGCTTTAAAGATATTTTAAGAGGGACGCTGCTGCCCATCCCTCTCACTCCCTTAGTCGACTCTTACGACACCCACGGGAAAGAAAGGGGTGGCCTATTCTATGCCGGGGCACGCATGTCGATTCTACATATTTTATTTTAATATAATAACTACCCGCTTTAATATAAGCTTAGCTAGTTTAGTAGTCGTAGGGACATGTCATAAAGTCATGAACGACTCTGATCCGAAACTAGACGAGTTGATCAACTAAAATACATGTAAGTAAAGTCGATAATTATTACATTATAATATAAATAACTAACATTTTTCCTATTTTGTACTGTGTTTTTTTTTTCAGTTTTAATTTTGAAGAGTAGGTAATTTTAATTAGAAAGTAAACAAAATTTTATTTATTTTATGAAATAATTATATAGAAATAATATATTCTAAACGTACCGTAACGCAGATGAGAAGTCACTAAAACCGTCAATAAAAAAATTAAACAAAGTATTTAAATGAAACATAACTTACTTTTATTCACTATCCTAACATCGACTCTAATAATTTTACTAAGTAGATACAGTTCTTTATTGAATTATATAGGTGGCATCTACACCATACTGCATAATATGAAAGTGAGTTTATATTATAGCTCAACCTGTCGTTATGAAAGGTATGTGGTGAAGAAGAACGAGGGTCACTCTATATCCATGGCGATCAACATATCCCAGAACATGGATAAAGGCGTAGGAAAAAACTAGTGTTCAATAATTTTCTTACCTGGCTGGTAAGAAGGCACCACGACACCCCCACGCGCACTCGTGGTGCACCGCGAACGCAAAGTCATCCGGCAACCGCGGGGGAGCGTTGTCCCCAAGGAACGACTTGCACAGCCGTTCTGCTTCCCGCCTCGTTATCATTCCTATCCGTAAACATAACTCTCTTACAACTATTACCTAAATTAATGTTATAAAGAGGAAAGATTTTTTTTAGTGGCATAGATAAACCCAAAAATACTTAATTAATTTTAAAAAATTTTTTACTTACATAAGCTGTAATGTATTAAAAAAAAACTTACGGAGTTGAGACTCGCTAGCAGAAAATAAATTAAGGAATATTTACTTTTACTGCCTTATTTTTTCAAAATAAGAAAAATTATAATTTTTATGTTATATTTGCTTACATTTTTATTAATACAATTTTACATAGTGATCAAAAAGTGTACTGTGATACACATAGTATCTTATTATTGCTATTTTGAGAGTTAATAATAAATCTATTGTTATTAATTATTTACAAAATTTATTAGTGCTAAACAATATGAAAAAAAAAAATAAAGAATCCAAGCAAAATCAAATTCGGTTTAACTTGCTTTTATTAACAAGAAATCATTAAAATTGAATAAATTATTTAGTAGGTATAACAAAATCTATATCCACAGACAGAAGTCAGTTACTGTTTAAAGCCAAGGGTTTCAAGCATATTTGAAAGACAGACAGAAGCTCTTTAAGTATTCTTTGTTTTTTACATTTGCTTAAAACGTAAAAAAAAATACTTAAAGAGATTATTTGAGAGAATTTTTAAATAAACATTTTTTTTATTCTACCGCCCATTCGTTATGCAGTGTCAACTGACAAGATCTCTGCACCTGATATGCTAGAAAAACATAATAATATATATATATTTTTATAGTACTTAGAATGGCAAACAAGCCGACAGTGGTAACCGTCACCTATATACATGAACTCTGACATAACAGAGTATACTGTACATACTCTTTGTATCTCTGTATTATCCTATTGAATATTCCCAACTTGGAGGAAAATTATCAATTTGTAGGTTTACATACCGCATCTTCTGGAAGAAACGGGCATTGCGCCAGCTCGCCTCAAGATCTCTAGCTGGACGGGGGTACATTGCACGCAGGTGATGCCCAATGCCACTCTTCTATTGTGGATTTCGTTATACGAGAACTGTTTTAAGAGTGTGTTGGATATCTGTGCGAGGCAGAGCCTCTCCACGCCTTCGATCACCAGGGAGACAATTGGCACACCGTACAAGAGGACTGTGCCGACCTGCCCCAGAAACACTTATAATATTATCTAATAATATAAAAAAATTGTATTGAGATGTTAAAGAAAAAAATGTTACGAATAATCACATTGATTGCCTGCCTCTACTGAAGAAACTTGATTACAATGTATCTACTAGAGTGCCGCGGCATCCTTGTAATCTATTTAAAAATGCAGCTTGCCGAACAAACTTGGGCCGCGAATCACCTATCGTCCGCATAACGCGTCTGTATAACGATATTGTAAAAACCAAGCCTGAACTTGATATTCACAACGATAGTCACTCTGTATTCATGACTAAATTAAAATGTTGATGTACCTTGCCATTACATTATATTTATTTGATAATTTATAATAATTTAAATACAATTTCCATTATTTATATTATATTATTATTCATATTTTTAATATATTTACTCATTTAATGACATTTAATAATTTAATTATATTTTAATGTTTATCAAACACAAGGCATGCTGTGGTTGCCTATAAATGTAAGAACAGTTAGGTCTAATCTACCAGTGTATTGTATTAAAATGTTTAGCTGTATCTTATGTTGGTAATCCTATAAATAAATAAACTCATAAGGATTTACAGTAGGCTCGGATAATATCAATACCGTTTTGATATCTATATATCGATGACGCAAAGAAACGTGATCACCTATTTACTATCAACCTTATAAGTCGGGCATCTATATTCATTTTAATCTGGTACTTTATTTCTATATTATATTATAGATATATTGGTTAACCAATACTGAATATATTTGTTATTGGATCGATATATAAATATTGCGATTACAATATATAAATAGGTATTAATAATGTATTCGACACAATGTATATTGTTATGAAATAAATCAAGTTAAATTAATTACTCCTAATTCACAGTAAACCTGTAATATTGTCTCTGCTATTACCTACAAGCACCCATGGCCTGCTGTTCATAGCTACTATCGTTGTATACATAAAGTTATGTATAAGTATGCATAGAACAGTCTTGAATTAACTATTTAATAGTTATTTTATTAAAATAAACTTTTGTAAAAATTTTATATCGACTTATTAAAACATTGAACAATAACCGAAAAGCAAAAAATAAACTAAAATTAGCCTTGTAATTAAAAGGAGAAATAGGTGGACTTACAAAAAAAAATACAGTGGAACATAGAACTCCTTTTTTGAAGTCGGTTAAAAATCACCACTCACTTGATTGGGCTTGGCGTTCAGCTGCAGCGCTTTGTGCTCGTTACGCGGCTTCATTGTCTCTCGAGGGGAAAGAGCCAAGTTCGTCGCCTCCATGCTGAAATAGTGCCCTTAATGTAATCTCAAGTAGACTAAATTATACTCCTTAAAAATCACCATTTCATATTTTGATATGCTTGTGTGTATAATGTATGACGCTTTACAACTTATACACACATACATATATTACACCATAGTCTTTTAATATCTTTACGATAAAAAGAAGTGCTGCAACAGATTATATTTTATATTTTTAAAAAAATTTACATTTTTTACTATGATGTCTATATACATGCACAACGGGAATTTAATTTACCTACTTCTGGATGAAGTCGAAACAATTGTCGAAAACGGCAAACACAGTAAGTTCGTTAAATTTCCGTTGTGCATACATATAGACATAGATTATACTTTTTCTTATTCCAACGCCGAATCATGTGTTTGATGATAAAATTTAAAATTCCTTTTTTGTTTATTTTGGACTGCGCTACGTTTTCTAACCTATAAAATTGAAAGCATTATAATATGAAAAAATAAAAAATAAAAAAAGTTGCAAAGCGAGAATACTCGTATAAATAAAAGCACTTATATGAAAAATATATGTTTACTATACATTTAAATATCTATTAAAAATCAATAATAAAAGAGTCTGTATAAATAATTATTTTATTTTTGTTCCATTGAACGTCGAAACGCACAAAGCACTTTCGTCGTTATTACACGTACATTTCCCTGTTTTTCCTTAAATAATTCCCATTAATGTGGAATGCATAGAATAATGATGCCACTACAAAAGACCATACGCCAAACAAAAGGTCATTATTGCAAAAAGCTACATTTACTTTTGCCGCGCAATAAAACTACACAGTGAGAACGAGCGGTGAATAAATTGGAATAAAAGTGAACATTTTGTATACAAATAGGCAGTTTGCGTGTGAATTTAGTGTATCGAATATCAATTGGGTACATCGGAGGGTGCGATAATGTATCGAGCCCGCCCCCCGGCGAGTGCGCTTCGAATATTTTGTAGACTTTCATTTAATTTTTAGTTAATTAAAAGTAACTTTTAATTCTGTCTCACTTTAACCACATGAAATCGCCATAATTTGCATCCTTTTAAACTAATATTTCAACAAAATTAAAACTAAATATTATTTCTATAGAAAAATGAATTGGAAAAAAAGAAATTAACATCGCCTTTGGATATAAATAGCATCATGGATGTCTCCATATCCTGTTATTTCACTATAATTAAGATGACAACTACAAAATTATTATATTTGACACAATTGCAATTACTTATAAGGCATTTGCGATTGTATATTTATAAGGCAACGGTTAACTTTGTATCTGGGCCCTTAACTTGTCACTTCAGTAGTACACCCACTTAAGTCCACTTAACTATAAAAAATAACGTTAGGAAATAAACAATAACATAAATGTAAACACTTCAATACATCTAATTTATCTCCTTTATAAATATTTTCAAAAGTCAATTCATTTTTCAAATTGTCGTTCACAACAAAACACTATTTCACTATCAAAATGATAAATCACTTATTCAAACAGAACTAGCGGGTCTAATGTTGAAAATCAACATAGGGTTGCCTCTTCACCCCGACATACCGTGTCATTATGGGGTGTGATTAGTCAATTTATGTCACCCCTACGCACTGTGGGCCGGAGCCAAATAATTGATTAAGTCAAACGACATTACATTACAGTAATGATTGCATATGTTGCTTTTATCACGGGTGCTATTTTTATATTTTGTGGTGATTTTGGTGGACGTGAAATATTAATAGTTAATTTGTTCCAGTTGTAATTGAAGCTTCCATAGACACGATTTCTGTACATGTTTCTCTATATTACGTTTAAACCCATTTCACCCTTGGAAAAAAGACTGACTTTATTCGCACTTTAATAAAAGAGAAGATAAACTTGTATACTCTTATCTTTATAGATCAAGTAAAATAGATGCCCTTGAGTTTGGGAGCCTGGTGATCTGTAAGACGGGTAATCCTAGTACCGACACCAGTCTCTCAAAAAGATTGCTTTTAAATTGTAACCTATATAGCTGTAAATTTTATTATGTTGTTGTCATTAAACTAAAAGTACCTTTACTTTACCTTAAACTAAAAGATTGAAGAATGTGGAAGAAGCGAAAGAGGTTTGTTTGAATCGAAGCATTTGGCGTTCCATTGTTTCTCCCTACCCTAATGGGAGACAGGCGTGACAGATATGTATGTATGTATGCATGTATGTTGTTGTCATTTCTTTATTTTAATTTATGTATGTTAGTGTAATTTCTATCGCTTAAAAAGACATACCATAAAAGTCTAAAGTTAAGAATGAATTTTTTAATTAATTTTTATTTTATTACGGTTAAAACACCATTTTTCAAACGAGTTTTCTTTTATGTTTGTTATCTTATATCCCCGTCAGTTACAAACCGACTTAAAAAATTCTTTTTTATCTGAAAAGATATATTTTGGAATTGCTTTTTTGGAAATTATAACAAAATCGATTTAATAGTTTAGTTTTTAAATGAAAATAACTAGTTTTGTCACAATTGCAGTCTCTATGTGTAACACAATTTTAAATTATTGAAGATTAAAAATTAAAAAAAAAAAATGTTTAAATGTGAATGTTCTCTAAATTTCACGGTTCAACTGTCGACAACTATTGTCCGTAAGATTTAATAACAATCACTTGTAATTATGAATGTGCTATGGGGGCCATATGGTGCAGATATGATACATGGGGCGAGCCCCGCGGGATGAACCGAGGATGCACATGTGGACCACTTGTATCGGAACTAATCGGGATTGAATAAAAATATATTACCGGTTATCGTAGATATATATTAATAATAAGCAAAACTACGCAATGTCTATCCACTACGAATTCCCTTCATATCTACGAGTGTAATCTATTCCCCTATCTCTCTAAAGATACTCTATTTAAATAATAATAATAATACAGAAAATACGTACCTATCGTGATATAATTTCAATGACTGGATAATATTGTAACGAACTGTTAAACTATTTCTAAAGTGAAAAACGGGTTGTCCTCCTCTCTCTTACTTGCTGTGCCCAACAGTGTCTATATTTAAAGTTAAAATATGATCTACTAATCACATTATGGAATGCAATAGAAAATATATAAATAAATAAGTAGCGTAAAATATGTGTTTTAATAAATTTTGTATTATTTTAAAATATCAAAATTGCACGAAAATATGTATGTAATAAAAGGCATTGGTGTCTAAGATACAGGCTAGGCCTAGTTTAGAACCTTATGTGCAATAAACCTTAATATCATATGTATGTATCGTCATCATATCAGCCTTTAACTGTCCACTGCTGAACATAAGCCTCCCCCGTGGAGGGTTTTGCCAGTAGTTGCCACGCCGGCAGGCAGGTTGGCAACCGCACTTAGGCTTTAGAGATAATTTAAGAGGAACTATTCTGCCCATATATATATATATATATATATATATATATATATATATATATATATATATATATATATATATATATATATATATTTAGTCAGCAATCAAAGATTACTCAGATTTCTATATTGTAAATTATTAATAAACTTTCTATAATTATAACATGATAATTGTAAACACAAGTATCTAATATTAAAATCAGTAAATTAACAAAAAAAAGTGGTGTTATATGTATATTCCATAGGGACTGACGCGTATTAAAAGAACATTTTAACCTCAAAATGTGTTGCATTATTAAATTAATATAATTATATATATATATATATATATATATATATATATATATATATATATTAATTATTAATTAATTAACAATGGTGTTCTCCATTGATCTAGCAATCAGAATATATTGCTATTGCTAGCAATAGGACCACATACGTAACAATTCCTTCCCACCAAGAGTGTTACTTATTAAAAACAAAATAAATAGTTCTCCTTAATAATTAAGATTGCGTTTCACAAAAAAAATCTACTTTAATTATGGCAATACTAGTTATTTTTATTTAAAAACTAAGCTACTGGACCGATTTTAATAAAATTTCTGTGCGACCAATCTCTAAGTATATCCTTTCAGATTTTCAGATAAAAAAATCCCAATCGGTTTACAACTGACAGAGTTATGTGGTAACAAACATGAAAAAAACACAAGCGAATTGAAAACTTCCTTCTTTTTGAAGTCGGTTGAAAAGAAACCTGACCCTTAAAAGCGACAAGTCGCATATAACAAACTGGGCCCATAACGTAACGTAACCGCAACCGATCTTATTGACAACATGTTGTACATTTCTGCGGATAATCCGTAACTAAAGGGGACACTCGACGCTCTTGTGTCAAGCGCCCTGGATAGGGGACGCCGTGTAGTGTGACCATGATTTAGTTACAAGTTTAAGTTAATGACAATTGATATTCAACGACTTCGGCAATGTAGCGGTTTAACATACCGCCTCGGGGGGAAGAGATTGTTAGTAATGCGGACTCCCAGTTCCAATGTTAATAATATACCCTGTCAGGTCGACTTCCCCATGGTTCGCCTGGTAATCATCGTGCTCAACTCCAGGTGTATTCATCACGATAGTCTAACCTACCAGCCCTTTCATATTCACTTATCATTTTTTACTGATGCCCCGCCAGCGTATACCGTTAACACAGCGGGTTAGACGGGGTTACTAACTATTTCATTATCATCTATTAAACAATAGCATACCGCCTCACCTTTCAGTAGTTAAGTTAAGTAGTTAAGTTAGTTTAAGTAAAACAAATATTTGTCAACCTATTTCAAAAAAAGAGGAACTGTTTAATTCAATTGTACTTTTTTAGTTTTTTTACCGAGTTGTGAGGTAACAAATACTAAAAGTTTTTTTTTTTTTTTAATTTCAGTATTCCATATATCAATAATAATGTCTCATATAATAATCCGATTCATCGGATGTGTCAATCGTATAACAAAATTAGCAAAAAATTCGATATCTTTCATCAGAGGGTTTAAGAGGTCGTTGTATGGTTTTGAGATAGAATAAGTTTGGATCATAACTGTAAAC